CGCCGCTAATGCTGCGTGTGCTTTGTCGCTGACCTGACCTTGATTCCGGAGGCTTCGCGCAGATACTTTAGCATCTTGGATCCAAATGCCTTCGTCAGCATATTCGCAAGCTGACTCTTCGTGTCAATATAGTCGATCGTCAACAGTCCTCCTTGCGCGTTCTTGCGAATAAAATAGTGCTTGATGTCCACATGCTTCATCCTAGCGTGGTATTCGGCATTATTGGTTAACGCGATCGCACCTTGGTTGTCTTCCCAAACCTGTGTTTCTTCAACTTACTCGTGTCACATGTCTCTTCGCATTGCCCGCGTCCAATGAACTTCCTGCGTGCAAAGGCTGAGAACCATATACTCAGCTTCCGCCGAACTTAGCGCATCCGTCCGCTGATACTTCGACTTGGAGACCACTGGTGCGCTCGCAATCATGACCCCAACTCCCGAAACCAAATGTATGTCATCGGTATTGTTGCCCCAATCTGCATCCGCGTATGCCTTGACCGCAACGCTCCCACTTCCTCGGTAGCCGATCCCGATTTGGCTCGTAGTCTCAAGTACCTTACCACTCGAATTGCTGCGCTCCAATGTAGTAGTCCTGGGTTTTTCAAAACTCGTGATAGCTGGGTTACCACGTACGCAATATCCGGTCGAGTACATGTCGTTATGTACAAGAAGCATCCAATCAAAGAGCGATAAGGCTTGGATCGCATTGCCGACCGTTCCTCTTCCGTTGTTGGTGACTGCTCTGATGACAGCTTCAATCCTGATGCGCATGGATTATCCACGCTCTTGGCATCTTGTTGACCGAATTGCTTGACCACGTCGCCGTTTTAGCGAGTCTACTTGATCATCAAAGTTCCATCTGACCAGTCGTGATCGATTTCTATACCCAAAACAAATTCTGCCTTGCACAACTCCTTCATCTTGAAAGCACTCTTGAGTACGTCCTTGACTTGATATATTTCTTCGCTAGTTCTTGCTGCTATAATGATGTCATCCACATATAGTCCAACGTAGACAAACCCTTTGTTCGTGCTCTTGACATCAACACAATGATCTGCCCCGCAACTCTTGAAGCCATTCCCCACGAAGACACGATAGATCGTCTTGTTCCAAGCACTTGCTGCTTGTTTCAGTCCGTAGATAGCCTTGCTTAGTTGACATTTGTATCCTTAATCATTGTTAAAACCTAGCGGAACTTCCATATAGAAGTTGTCCGTCAACACGCTGTTGAGAAAAGCCGTGTCGACGTCCAGCTGTTCCATTTGATAGTCGCATTCAGCACATACTGCGAAAACTATCTGGATTGAATTCATGCTGGCGACCGGAGGATAAGTCTCGAAAAAGTCGACGCAATGCTTTTGTTTGAATCCTTTCGCAACTTGTCGTGCCTTGTATCGCACGACATCGCCATTTTAACCACGTTTCTTGGCAAATTCGCATCGTGATCCAATTGTGCGCCTAATCTTTCCTCGTATCTCCACATTCGACTTTCTTCATGAGAGCAAAGTTCAGCATCTATTGCTTCACGCCATTTTATCGCATCGTCGCTTGCCATTGCTTGAGCATACGTAGATGGTAGGTCCATATCATCGTCAATGCTAACGGCGTAGGCAAGAACAGCTTCTGCAACTAGTCCATCCTCGTCAATCCTAGCACGCTTCGGAGCCTGTGGGCCTTCATTGCCTTCTGCCGACTCTTCGTCATCTGAGCAGTTCCTTATCATTAGCATCGGCTCACGTCTTGCTCTTGTTCGCTCCACTTCGGGCCGAGACACCAAACGATCTTCGTGTTGCATTGGGTCGGTTGATGATACTCCGTAAGCTCAAATCTCTTTTGTACAGGGCTCTCAGAAGGCATTAGCCGCTGTACATCGATGTTTGGCGCGTGATCCATATCATCCATTTCGACATCTGCAATTGGCTTTTCGACAGCTTCCATCGGATCGTCCAGAACTGGCTGTCGATCCACTTGATGCTGAACCTTGACTTCATAACCACCCTTCATTACTTACCTTTCATAACCACCCTTCATTACTTGAAGGATTCGTTCCGGCTTGACCTCTTGCGTGTCGTAAATGCCGCCCACCTCACGCTCACCCAACCTCACAGAGCGAGTCACTTTGATCTTCGCATTCTCCAAGTCAAACACGCGATAGCCCTTGACATTCTCTGCGTAGCCGATAAACATACACTTGAAGCTCTTGGGCTCCAGTTTGGTCCGTTTCACATCGTCAATGTAAGCGTAGCCGTGCGAAGCAAACACGCGCAAGTGATCCATTTGAGGCTTCATCTTGAAAACAGCTCGTATGGTGTGATGTATAAATATGCCGTATTGCTGGAGCAGATCAGCCGCTGTGTCTACCGCTTCCGCCCACCATTCCGTCGAGACGCTCTTGTAATGCAACAAGCTGCGGGCCTTCTCCTTGATAGCCCTCTTCATACGCTCCGCCACTCCGTTCTGCTGAGGGCTGTATGGAATGGAACGCTGGTGTACAATGCCGTTCTG